AATTAAGTAATTTATTTATGATTCCTTCATCTATGTCATTGATATAAATAAAAAAGAGCAAAGGTCCTAAGACTGAGCCCTGAGGTACCTCACTTGTGACATTAATCAAATTTGACTGAATTCCATTTATAACAATCTTATCTTTTCTTCCATCCAGTCACTTTTCTATCCAATTAGCCAACTTATCCCCCACACCTATAGAAACATTTTTTACATGCCTTTTATATAACACTTTTGTCAGATGCTTTCTGACAATTCAGGTACACCAAATCTACACCCTTATCCTCATGTACATAGGCAGTAACCTTTCAAAGAATGTCAAAATATTTGTAAGACAAGACCTTCCCTTAGTGGAACCATGTTGACTATTCAATAAAATTATAAACTTTGTTAAATGACTTTGCAAAGCATCTGTTATCAGACTTTCTAAAACATTTCCTACAACTGGTGTAAGATTAATAGCGCCTATAATTACTGGGATAATTTTTGTCACATAATATTGGCTAACTTTCAATCCTCAAAGACTTATAAAAAAAATGTTGCAAATAGCTCACATATCCAATCATTAACCTCCTTCAAACTTTAAACTTCGCAATTTCTTAACAAGCCCAGAATTAATGTGATCATCTTTTTTATCTTGTTTCCTTCTGTCAACTATTCAGGATGAGTTATATTGCTTAAGTCTTCAATATTAAAAACTGAAAAAAAAGACAGAATTAAATATCCCATCCATCTTATAATCATCAGATACGATCCTTATTTTATCATCCCTCAAAGGCCCTACTCCCATCCTCACATTTTGTTTAACCTTAAATATATTTAAATAAATCCTTAGTGTTATTTTTTCATTTTCGGCCAAACTTTTTTTTCAAAAGTTCTTTTTAATATCCTAATTTCCTGTTTGACCAACTCTCTTGATCTTCAAAAATCTTCCATCATAAAATTGTTATGCTGTTCTTTAATTTAACTTTTATACTCTTTGTAAACCAACCTGGCTTTTTACTTGCAGCCATCCTTTTCTCTCTATAATAAACATGTTTGTCTTGAATATATTTTTTATTAATTTTCCACATTTGATCAATGTCTCCAAGTAGTTCAGCTGCCCAATTCACAACAGATAATTCTTGTTGCATCCTTTCAAAATTTGCTTTTTGAAATTTGTAACCAAAATATCAATATTCCTGTTCTCCATGTTCAGCCAAACATTGAACCTATTAGAGCTATAATCACTTGTACCCAGATGTTCCAAATTTCCACCCACTCGGCCATTTCCATATTAGAAGTTAACAATAAATCTAAAATAGCACTGTTCGTAGTAGGTTTCTTAGCCAATTGGTGACGAAAACCGTTTTCAACAGTTTCCAAAACCTTTCTCCCTCATGGTTTGACTCGAACATTTTTCCAATCTATATGCCTGAAATTAAAATCACCCGTAACATGTTATGTTGAACAATTCTCATCACAAGAGGTCAAAAATTACCAAATTAAGTTGGTGTTTGGAGGATAGACAATCTAAGTTAAAAGTAATCGACCGTGATCGTCTTTAGAAGTATGTCGGTGAGAGAACGGCCTACTGAGTAATTCCAGAGAACTAGTTAGCGAAAATTCGACCTGCTGAGGAGCCCGAGTTCCTGTCGAAACTACTTCCACAGGATCATCAAAGTTTTAGCCGCCAGTGTATTCATCCGACCACCTATCAAGGGAGAGCTGTTCCTAAGGACAGGATAACCAGCAACAACAAGGAACAAGACATCATCCCATCTATATACCAATGACATCTGAAAGGAAACTACTGAAAACCATCGACATAAAATCATTGGCTCAAAATCGTAGGATTTACAAATACGAGCTGGACGAATTTCCCCTAAAGCAAAAAGTTTTTTATGTAAATAATTTTTCTATGTGACAAGATTAAGCTGTATAATGGATGCGTAGTATATTGATATGGCTTTCTTTATTATCAATGCAATGTTTAAATATTGTAGAGGCCTATTTCTTCATGTATTTTACTACAAGTTTGAATGCAATGGGGCGGAGGTTCATGTTCTTCATGCCCAAGGCCTTAAGAATTTTAATTTGCCTTTGGACATACCTGTTGATTTTTATTTTTTTTTAATCAAAATAAAGGCTAATTTTGGAGTAATACCAACGAATTTAACCAACCAGTTTCATTTTGAAATACCGTATTTTTCGGTGTATAAGACGCATTTTTTTTACCCAAAAATTTGATGTCAAAATCTGCTTGCGTCCTATACACCGAAG